GCTTCGTTAAAAGAAAAAAAAATAGAGCTATCAGGGCATAGAATAAACCTAAGTGTTTCTTTGTATAAGAAGTCAACTTGATCAGTGGTCTTGGAAAATGGGCACTGGTGGAGGGATGGGTACTCAATCATTGTATAAATGAAACCCAAGCACAAATATTTGTAAGTCTACAACTGTACCTCATGGTGTTTCACCAATCAATCACAACCATCCTGTTATTTGTCGATTGCCTCGAGCAGGCCCCAGTAACGTCTCCTTCGTCCTAGCCCTGAGATTTTTTTAAAGAAGTGCCACATTCAAGGCTCTTTCAGAATTAGGAGAATGAGACCCTTCATTGTTACTGGTATTTGGCATATTGGGTATGCCACGGGGAGTTTGCCAGACTCTGCCATGTGGGCAGGTTACATTCGGTAGCCTGCCAGTTTGTCCAAAGTAGGAATGAGATGATAAGATGTCATGCGGCCGCATGCTTTCGGGAGCTGAGTGTGATAATCTCTGGATCCTGGCCGTTATTGGGGTTACACGGCAGTTGGTGGGTGTAACTGTCTAGCTACTGGCAGGTCCAGTCCCAAACCGTGTAGGCTTGGAGATCTCAGCCCCACGTCCCACATACCTGGGTTCCTCTGCCAGTTCTTTTATGCGTGAGGCTCATCCAAGTGTGTGGAGAGTGGTCCCAGCATGGCCTTGGCTGGGGCCCGGAGGTCTTCAGCTGTTGGGCCCTGGTGAGGACAGTCAGGCACAGGGTAGGAGACTCTGCCTTGTTCTGGTTCACTAATAAAAATTAAAAAAAAAAAAGAAGTCAACTTGAAAAGGTGATAAGCTTTGTGATTCCAGTTGTGTTTCAGAAAGAGCAGAAAGTGGCACCACTGAAAGATGAGTGGTTTCTAGGATGAGAGAGGAGAGTGGGGATGAAACGGTTGGGCACAGGGAATTTTCAGTGCAATGAAACTATTCTGTGGTACTGTAATGTGGACATAAGGCACACATTTATCCAAATCCACAGACTGTACATCAAGAATGTATCCAGACAGTAAGCTTCTGGACTTTGAGGAATTATATATATCAGCGTAGATTAATCTGTTGTAACAAAGGTAGTCTTCTAATGGAACATGCTGCTGGTGGAGAGGGTGTGTTTTTTGTGTGCTGGTGGAAAGGGTATGTTTGTATATGCTGGTGGAGAGGGTGTGTGTGTGTGTGTGTGTGTGTGTGTGTGCGCGCTTGTGGAGAGGGTGTGTGTGTGTGCTGGTAGAGAGGGTGTGTGTCTGTGTGTATGTGTGTGCTTGTGGAGAGGGTATGTGTGTGTATGCTGGAAAGGGTGTGTGGGTGTGTGTGTGTGCTTGTGGAGAGGGTGTGTGTGTGTATGCTGGAAAGGGTGTGTGTGGGTATGTGTGTGTGCATGCGTGTGTGTAAGGGTGTATATGAAAAGACCTTCTAGTAATGTTCTTATGTCCACTCTTGTCGGCCTCTGACTGCTTGGTATCTCACTTTGTAATCAAAGACCAAGGGTTTGTCCTCATTTGATTTTGTATATTCCCTTGTTTTGTTTCTCTTTATATCGCAGATAAGTGGAATCATACAGTTTTTGTATTCTTCTCTGACTTATTTCACTCTGTAATACCCCCAGTTCCATCCAAGGTGCAACCAACTTCAAGATTTTATCTTTTCTTAGATCTACATATTATTCTGGGCTGGAGTGATAGTGCAGTGGATAGGGCATTTGCCTTGCATGCGGCCAACCTGACTGACCCAGGTTCGATTCCTCTGCCCCTCTCAAAGAGCCTGCCAAAGTACTGAGAGTATCTTGCCCGCATGGCAGACCTGGTAAGTTACCCGTGACGTATTTGATATGCCAAACACAGTAACAAGTGTCACAATGAGACGTTACTGGGCCCGCTCGAGCAAATCAATAAAAAACGGGAGGACAGTGACAGTGATAGTGACATAGTATTGCATTGTACATATATACCAAAACGTGTTCATCCATTCATCTTTCATAGGACATTTGGGTGGGTTACATACCTGGGCTATTGAACTTAATGCTGCAGTGAACACAATAGTCTTTGAGCTTTTTTGAATTAATAATTTTGTTTTCTTGGGACAGATACTAAGAAGTGGAACTACTGGGTCATATGGAAGCTCTAAGCATACTTTGTTGAGAAGTTGAACTTTAACAGACTTTTCTGTAAAAGCTGAACCAGATGACATTCCTACCAAGAGCAAAAGAGGGAAGGTTTCTTTTTCACTCAGCCTTCCAACTCAGGCTGTTGCCAGCCTTTTTTAAATTCCATTTTCACTGGTATTTTAGTTTCATTTTTCTAATTTGCATTTCTCAATTGTAATTCAGAGTTTTCAGTGTATAAAGACTTTCATATGCTTCGTTGATTTCTAAGTATTTGTTCCTGGACACTTTTTTTTTTTTTTGCTTTTTGGGTCACACCTGGCGATGCACAGGGGTTACTCCTGGCTCTGCACTCAGGAGTTACTCCTGGCGGTGCTCAGGGGACCATATGGGATGCTGGGACTCGAACCCTAGTTGGCTGCGTGCAAGGCAAACACCCTACCTGCTGTGCTATCTCTCCAGCCCCATTCCTGGACACTTTTATATTGAATTGTCTTTTTGGTTTCTTTCTCTTTTAGTTCATTGTATACATTTACATATGCAAACATAATGTAGATACTCTTTGTATCTTTCATTTCTAGTTCATTGCTTATCTATAGGAGTGAAATATATTTTTGTTTATTGATTTTGTAGCCCACTACGGCACTGTATTAGTTTATTGTTTCTTAGAATTTTTAGTGGAATTTTTAGGGTTTTCTATATGTATTATCTTACCATCTGAAAATAACAGTAGGTTAATTTCCTCTTTCCAAATCAAATGCTTTTGATTTCTTTTTCTTGTTTGAATACTGTTGTCAAGGACTTCCAAAACTCCACTGAATAATAGTGGAGAAAGTGGACGTCCATGCCATATTGCCTGATACAGAGAGGAAGGCTTCTTGTGTGTGTGTGTGTGTGTGTGTGTGTGTGTGTGTGTGTGTGTGTGTGTGTGTGTGTGTTTCTAAATGACCGTTACTATCTTGAGGTATATTTCTTTTATTCCTGTTTTGTTGGGGTTGCAACACATAGTTTAAGAAGCTAAGAATGTAAGATCTTTAACATGATTTTAGTTGCTTGAAGCACTATGAAATCTAGTTACCTAGTTAACAGATAAACACTGTAGGTACTGAAGTTTGTTGACATTTTTGTACTGAAGCAGTGAGATTGGCTTCTTCAATACTCTAAGTGATGCTCTTCTGGTCTTTGAAAGGGGAAAGGGTTTAGAAGATGCTGTATCACATTTCTGCTATTTCTGCTTTTGTTTTATTTTGTGAGGAGGAGTCAGATTTGAGAAAATGATTCCTATTATATTCTAACCTTAGAACATAGCACTGCAGCACTGTCCTCCCATTGTTCATTATTTGCTCGAGCAGGCACCAGTAACGTCTCCAGTGTGAGACTTGTTGTTACTGTTTTTGGCATATGAATTCACCACGGGGAGCTTGTCAGGCTCTGCCGTGCGGGGCAGGATACTCTCGGTAGCTTGCCGGGCTCTCAGGGATGGAGGAATCGAACCTGGGTCAGCCGTGTGCAAGGCAAATACCCTACCCACTGTGCTATCTCTCCAGCCCAAACTTAGAACTTATTTTTATTTATTGTTTTGGTAATATTAAGGGCACACTTAACTTTTATACAATTTTTGTAAACTAAATCATGTTATTAAGAGTAAAACCGAGGGCCAGAGCAATAGTACAATTATCAGGGCACTTGTCTTGCATGTGGCCAACCAGGGTTTGATACCTAGGATGCTGTTTGGTCCCCTAAGCACTGCCGGGAGTGATATCTGAGTACAGAAACAGGAGTAAGACTTGAAGATGGTCAGGTGCGACCTCAACTGCCCCTCCCCTCCAACCCCCCAAAATGAGAGTAGAATTGGGAGACCCAAGAGGTAGTAGGGGATTAAAGTGCTTGCCTTTCTTTGGCTGACCACAAATTCTACATGTGATCCCCTGAACACAGCGCCAGGAATTATCCCTGAGCACAGCTGGGTTTGGCCCAAAACACAAAAATCCCTAAATTACATTCAATGTGGATTTTTTCCTCTAAAATTAGAGCATTTAAGAAGTGCTTAAATATAGTATATATTTGTCTTGTGATGGTATAAAGTCTAGTCATAAGTAGAGACTGTATTGATAGAATATCACAAATTCAAGTTAGAAAAGCAAGAAAATAGTACCAAAATGAATCACATCAGGCAAAGAATGGCCAACTGGTATTTCTATTTCCTCTTCATTTGATTTCCTGTTCTTTCACTCTCATTATCTCTGTTTCTTTGAACCTTACTCCCCCTTGTTTTATTCCTTAATCAGTTTCTGCTCTGTGAACCTTAAGATGTACAATGTACACTTGGTTTGTTATTGACTTTTTTCAAGTATGAAAGTACCCTCACCATAAGACTAAAGTTTTTCAGTTCCTGTGACAGTGATCCTGGCCAGTGATCCCTGTGTACCAGAGGGATCACTGTGCTTGTAAGCATTCACCAGTGCTGATTCTCACCAAAGTCCCTTTGGAGATCGTAGCTTGGTCTTTGGTCAGATTTGTTCTGGAGTTTTGAAAATAACAGTAACAGTAATGGTTGGGGCCAGAGTGATAGCACAGTGGGTAGGACATTTGCCTTGCACATGGTGGACCTGGGTTCAACCCCTGACAACCGCCAAGTATGGCCAGGTGTAATTCCTTAGTGCAGAGCCAGGAGTAACCCCTGAGCATTGCTGGGTGTGACCCCAAAAGCCAAATAAATAACATAACATAACATAACATAACATAATATAACATAACAATAAAGGGAGCTGAGCTATGAGTGCAGTAGAGCACATACTTTGCATATATGACACCTTGCTTTAATCCTGGCATCACAGACTAAAATAAAAATAATAATGAGTTTTGACGATTTTTTCCACAGCTGGTATAAGGCTAATTACAGCATGGCTGAGAAACTAGACTGGGGCCGAGGAGTGGGCTGTGACTTTGTCAGGAAGAGCTGCAAGTTCTGGATTGATCAGCAGAGACAAAAGTAAGAATACCTTTCCTCCAGTTTTTAATAACACAGTGCATTTATAATTTTGTTTTTTATCTAGAGTCAAAGTATTATTTTTAAATTATGTTCCTGGGGCGGGAGTGACAGCACTGCAGGGAGGGCGTTTGCACGTGGCTGACCTGGATTCAACCCCCGGCATCCCCTATGGCCCCCCAAGCACCACCAGGAGTAATTCCTGAGTGCAGAGCCAGGAGTAACCCCTGAGCATTGCGTGGTGTGACCTAACCACCCCTCTCCAAAGAAAGAAATTAAATAAAATGTGTTCCTGACAGCTCAGTTTCAAAATACGAAAAAAATCATGTGTTGTACCTATATTCTTTTATATCCGGGGCTGTAATATTAAATAACATACAAAAAAAGTTTGAGTGGTATCCAAAGACATAAACAATTCTACTTAGCTTATAATTCATATGTATTGCAAAAATTTTGCTACTTTGTCATTCTCACTTTTTTTCAGAGAATCCACACTTAAACATAGATGCAGTTGTTCATTCAGTATCAAAAAGCATAAAAGTAAGTTTGAACAGTGGCTTTAAACTCTGGATACATATCATCAGCTAGAAAGTTTTTTAAAAAAATCATAGTCCCAGGCCGTATATTCCTTCAGTACAGCAAGTAGGATGCTTGCCTTGCACGTAGCCAACTCAGGTTCAGTCCCTGGTTCACATGTGGTCCCCCAAGCCCCACCTGGAGTGATCCCTGAACACAGAGCCAAGAGTGTGCCCTGAGCACTGCTGAGTGTGGCACAAAAACAAACAAACAAAATTATGGTCCCAGATTTTTGGAATAACACATATAGCACATATATGCAAATATACATGATTATGTGTTTGTATGTTTCATATCTTTGCATGCACTTTATGTTACTTTATTATTTTTTTGGTTTGGGGCTATTCCTATCAGTATTTAGGGCTTACTCCTGGCTCTGCGCTCAGGCATCACTCCTGGGAGGGGCTGGGGGACCATTTGGGGTGCTCGGAATTGAACCTGACTCAGCCATGTATAAGGCAAACGCCCTACTTGTTGTACTGTTTCTCTGACCCCTTAATATGTCCTTTTAAATATATGTATTTACGCTTTTTACCATGAATTAATAGTGAATTTACTGGCATTTGCAAAAACAATTACACATCTCCTGTTTGCTTATCCAGTTTCTGAAGCATCTTGCAAAAGCTATAGTGCAGTGTCACAACCAGGATATTAACCTTGATACAGTAAGTTATAAAACCTTTTCATCACCACAAGGATCCCTCATAATATCCACCCCCCCTTTTTTTTGTTGTGAGGCGTTGACCTGAGCTTTACATGTGCAAAGCATGTGCTCTACCGTGTGCTTCAGCCCCGCCCCCTTATATTGACTTCTGTATTCACCCCAACTTCCCAGCTCTTCTTTAGCCCCTGAAAACCGCTAATACATTCTGTCTCTGTGATGTCATCTTATCAAAGTTAGCATATGAATGGATTCATTTTGTATATAACGTTTTAGAGTTGACTTTTTTCTTTTTTTAGCATTGAGGTCATATCTAGCATTGTTCAAGGCTTACTCCTGGCTCTACGTGCAGGAATCACCCCTGGCAGTGCTTAGCAACCATATGGGATGCTGGGGATTGAACCAGACTGGGTGAATGCAAAGCGAGGGTCTGACCCACTGTGCTCTCTCAGGCCTGGCCCCCTGTGTGTGTGTGTATATAAGGTAAAAGGTAAAGGCCCTCCCGTTGATCGTCGATTTGCTCGAGCGGGCCCAGTAACGTCTCCGTTGGAGACTTTGTTGTTACTGTGTTTGGCATTTCGAATACGTCACGGGGAGCTTGCCAGGCTCTGCCGTGTGGGTGAGATACTCTCGGTAGCTTGCCGGACTCTCTGAGAGGGGCGGAGGAATCGAACTCGGGTCGGCCATGTTGGCTGCGTGCAAGGCAAACGCCCTACCGCTGTGCTATCGCTCCAGCCCTATGTGTGTGTGTATATATATATATATATATATATATATATATATATATATATATATATGCTGTGTTTATAAAGTTACTGAGAATTGAGTTTTAGGTATATAATATTTCAACATCAGTCTCACCACCATCTTCACTACATTACATTTTCTCCTCCAGTTATTCTGCATCTCACATGAGATCACTCGGTGTTGGTCTTTCTTCTTCTGGTTTACTTCATTCAAGATGATATTTTACAGTTCTAACCAAGTTGCCACAAATTGTGTAGTTGATTTTTTGGTCTCGATAGTTTTCTGGAGATTTATTCCAACTATTGTGTTTGTCAGTAGTTTGCCCATTTGTATCTGAATAATATTTCATAATATGGATATGTCACAGTTTGTTGACCCATTATAAAACATCTAAATTGTTCCCAGTTTGGATTTATTAGCAAATAGAATTGCTACAAATGTTTGTGTACTTCCTGTTTCTATTGAGGTACGTTTTGTGACCCAGCACATGGTTTATCTTGAAAAATGTTCCATGTGCACTGAAACAGAGTATTTGGTTTTGGGGCATGGAAATCCTTTTATACATCTATTAGCCTTCTCTTTTCTATTTCTTCCTTCAAAGCCAGTACTTTCTTGGTGATTTTTAGTCTTGTTGATCTATCATGAGGTGATAGGGTGGTGTTGAAGTCTCCAATTATGACTGTGTTGCTACCAATATCCTCCTTGAAGTCTGTTAGCATAGCCCTTCTTTGGGAGTGTATATGTTCAGAAGTATGATTTCTTTCTGCTCTATATATCCCTTGATTATTAAAAAATGGCCTTTGCTGTTCCTTCTAATCTATTTCAGCCTGAAATCTATGTTGTCAGATACTAGTATGGCCACCCCAGCTTTTTTGAGGAAGTTATTTGCTTGAAAGATTGTTTTCCATCCTTTGACATGAGTCTGTGTTTGTTCCAACTGTTCAGGTTTGTTTCTTGTAGGCAGCAGAATATTGGGTTCAGTTTGTTAATCCATTTCACCACTCTGTCTCTTAATTGGTGCATTTAGACCATTGATTGAGAGAGATTATTGTCATGGGGTTTTGTCCCATCTTTCTGTAGGGGTTTATTGTGCTTGCAGGGTTTTTTCTTGTCTTACAGTAGCCCCTTCAGTCCTTCTTTTCTTATTTTATTTTTATTTTTTTTTGCTTTTTGGGTCACACCCGGCGATGCTAGATGCTCAGGGGTTATTCCTGGCTCATGCACTCAGGAATTACTCCTGGCGGTGCTCGGGAGACCATATGGGATGCTGGGAATCAAACCCGGGTTGACCGTGTGCAAGGCAAACACTCTACCCACTGTGCTATCTCTCCAGCCCCTTCAGTCCTTCTTTTAAGGTTGGTTTTGAGTCTTTGAAGTTCCTGAGCCGTTGTTTATTCATGAAATGGTGTATCATTTCTTCGAGTTTGAGTAATTGTTTAGCCAGATAGAGTATTCTTGGTGAGTTGTTCATCTCGTTGAGTGTTTTCACTATATTCCACCATTGTCTTCGGGCTCAGACAGTTTCCTCTGATAAGTCTGCTGTAAATCTAAGGGGTGCTCCTTTGTATGTGATTTCCTTCTTTGACCTTGCTGCTTGCAGTATTGTGTCTCTATTTGTGGTATTTGTCGTACTGACATAACATTATGTTATGTTTTGGAATCTTTTTTATTAGGGTCTCTTCTGGCTGGCACCCTTTGGGCTTCTTGGATCTGGATGCCGGCATTCTCCAATTCTGGGAACTTCTCAGCAGTGATACCTTTAACTGTTGCTACTTCATTGGGGTTGCCTTCCTGTCCTTCTGGTACTCCGATGATTCTCATGATATTTCTCTTGAATTTATCCCCTAGGTCTCCTGTTCACCTGAGCACTATTTTGAGGTCTTTTTTCATTATATCTTATTTTCCTGTATGCTTTTTGCAGCTCATCTTCAAACTCACTGATTCTGTCTTCAGCTGTTGTCATTCTACTGTTGAGGGCACCCACTGAGTTTTTAATTTCATCTACTGAATTCTTTAATAGTGACACTTCTTTTTGTACCTTTCTTATTTCTGCTCTCATTTCTTCTTGTATTTTATTGGCTGTCCATTCCACTGTTTCTTTCATGTCCTCCTCTAATTTACTGGATGCCTGTTCCACTGTTTCTTTGAGTTCATTAAATATCCTCAACATTTCATCCCTGAATTCTTTATTGGAGAGATTATATTTGTTGGTATTCCCTATTGAAGCTCCTGGGCTCTTTTCTTTGTCCACTCATGGCGGGGATTTGCATTGTTTCTTCATGTTGCTGTGGTGGTATGGAGGTGGGACCCTCCAGTTCACTATCAGTATCCCCCTCTTGTTGCAAGAAAGGATTCTGGATTAACTTGATGGTGGTCACCTTTTCCCCCTTCTAGAATACCTACTTCCTTTTTGGTGCTCCTCTGTGACTTCTGCACACTAGAGTTGGCCAACTGTGTGTAAAGGGCCAGATAGTGAGTACTTGAGGCTTCGATAATCAGAGTCTCTCACAATTGCTCAGCTCGTCTGCTGTGCATTACAAGCTATCACCGACACAGCCAATGGCCATGGCCATATGTTGTAAACTGTGTCAGAGAAACACATAGGACTTGACCAAAAGTTGAAGTTTGCTGGGTCCAGAGCGATAGTTTAAAGGATAGGGCATTTATCTTGCACGCGACTGACCTGGGTTCGATCCCTGGCACCCCATATGGTCCCCTGAGCACTACCAGGAGTAATTCCTGAGGGCAGAGCAGGAGTAACCCCTGAGCATCGCTGGGAGTGGCCCCAAACCAAGGAAAAACAAAACGTTGCCGTTTGACCTTGGGCACAGCATTCAACTCTCTCCCCAGGAAGTGTGAGGTGCTCTGTGCCTGAGCCTCTGGCTCCAGGCCAGGATGGCTGCTTCCCGGAGCTGCCTGGGAGGGAAGCACGGCCTTCGCTGCACCCAGACCAGAGCTTTGGAGGGACTGTTAGTGGCGCCAGAGTCACAGATTTAAACTGCCACGCCTGGCAGTGCTCTGGGCCCTCTCCTGCCTCTGCACTCAGGGATCACTCCTGGCAGGGAGGAGCCATGTGCAGTGCCTAGGATTAAGCCCCTGGACTACCTCTCCAGCCCCAAATTAGGTTCCTTCTTTGTTCTGAAACAACTAAGCATAATAAACTCCTCAGTCCCTTGCTTGGCTTATTTACCGTTGGCTCTCTATCAGCTCCAGAGGTGTGTCACCCCATATGCTTCTCATATATGGTTCTACAGTTTCAATGGGGGTGGGGGGGCACACTCAGAAGTGTTCAGGGGTTACTCCTGGCTCTGCACTCAGAGATTACTCCTGGTGGTTCTGGGGAACCATATGGGATGCCAGCGATCGAACCCAGATCAGCCCTGTGCAAGGCCCTACCCACTGTACCATCTCCTCAGCCTCTATACAAATTTATACTTCAATTCATTCACTAAAGCTAAGTAAAACTTACAGTTATTTATTCACTAAACACTAGTTTCAAGTCATTAACAGCCTCTGTATGATTAGTGCCGACTCTACTGCAATTCGATGTATGAGGTTCGACTGGGCAGTGCAGTAGAATTTGGAAGCCACTAATCTTGAACAGTTCTGTCTTTGCAGTTATTTTTTGTTTGTAGGATTTTTTTTTTTTTTCAAATTTTTGGGCCATACCCGGTGTTGCTCAGGGAACCCTATGGAGTTGCAGGCATCAATCCTGAGCCAACTGCATGCCAAGTATTTTGTTTTATTGATAAATAATATTTGTTTTATTATTATTACAAAATAATAGTACAGTGGGTAGAGTGTTGACCTTTCATGTGGCCAACCCGGGTTTGATCCCCAGCAGCCCAGAATATTCCTGAATCACCAGAAGTGATTCCTGAGTACAGAGCCAGAAGTCATCTCAGGTGTGGTCCAAATACCAAAAAGGAAGAAGAAAAGTCATACGGTGTTATAACACGTCGAACATTGCTCTTTCGCACCTATGTGCAGCATTTCCTTCTATCCTTTGAAGTTTAGAACCTGATTCCATTTTGAGCCCTTGAGTGCACCCTGAGTATCAGCAGGTGGGCGTACTCTAATGGACCTGAGTGTACCCTGCAGATGGGTTTGCTCTTACAGCCCTCTCCCGGGTGTCTGACTGCATGCGCTTGCTCCCCTTGCAGGAGGCAGGCACTGAACCCGTACTGTGACACGCTCAGGACCAACCCCTTGCGACTGACATGCCGGCAGGACCAGAGGGCAGTCGCTGTGTGTAATCTGCAGAAGTTTCCTAAACCTTTGCCTCGAGAGTACCAGGTAACATTTTTGGGGACACAATTTTAAGGAAGAAACTATTTTAAAAGAAATTTGAATTATAAGTAAATTCTCTTATAAGGTCCAGTTAGTTTCTTTCTGTGTTAGGAAAAACAAAAAAGGAAGAATTCTTTTATTTTTTTAATTATCTCTGTACTCACTGTTGACAGTTGATGAATTTCTAGCAGTGCCTTATGGGAATGAAAAGTGATTTAGAGTATTGTTTTATCTGTTTCTAGATGGTGTTTTCTTTCTCATTTTTTCCAAAGTTATGTTTTTGATTACTTTGAATTGACACAGAAAACAAGATTCTTAGGGACAGAGAGGTAGCGCAGGGACAGAACACTTGCCTTGCACACGGCTGACCCAGGTGCCATCCCTGGCACCACAGGAGTAAGCCCCGAACACCACCAGGTATGACTCCAAAACAAAGCAGAATTATTTAAGGAATATAACTTAGATATTCTAATTCAGTCAATTGGAAGACTTAAACATTCTGCTTTTAAAAAGTTTAAATGGAAGGCTGGGTGTTGGAATATTATATGACTGACACCCAGTCATGAACAACTTTGTAACTGTGTATCTCACTGTGATTCAGTTAAAAAAATTATTTTTAAGTTTATGATGGCATCTGAAGTGAAGGAAATAGTACTCACATGAGTGAGTGTCAATCTTTGGTTAAGTTTTTGTTCCCATGATATTTCTGAAAAGCCTTGGCTCTACCTGCCAGCTTCAGAAGTGCCTTTACTCAGCATATCTGAGATGCTGGTTGCTCTACAATTTGAACTTTCTTACTCCCCTTCTGAGAGCTTCACACTGTGGCAGGGCAGTGGTACGTCTAGGGGAGTGCTCGGGAGTGGCTGCAGACGCAACCTCTTCAAGACTTAGCTGGGATCTTGTTCCTCAGGTGTCCAGAGTATTTTATACACATGATCTCTTTCATTTTTTTTCTGTTTTATTTGTTTTTGTTTTGGGGTCAGACCTAGCTGTTCAGGGCTCACTCCTGGCTCTGCACTCAGGGATCACTCCTGGTGGTTCTTGGGAGGACCAGATGGGGTGCTGAGGATGGACTCCAGATGTATGCAAGGCAAGCACCTTACTCAGTGTACTGTTTCTCCAGCCCCATCATCTTCTCATGGTTTTCTGTTCTCAGTTTTGTCAAAATGATGTATAAATTGCCTTCTGAAAACAGTTATTAATTTAAGTACATTAAATTCTGTGCCAGGAGTGGGCAGGAGCCATGCTTCGCATGCAGGGAGCCCTGGGTTTGATCCCTTCCAACAATGTTGAATGTCCCTCCAAAATAAAGAATAAAATAAAATGCCTTAATTCTTAATATCTTAGTTTTCTTATTTATCAACTGTTAAAACTTTTCCTACTCATCCTTGTAAAACAATAAAGAATTTTGTCATTAATAAATAAATTGGAAAAGTTTACTTACCTTTGCTAATTTCTGAAATCATAAAAACCTTGGAAATGGCTCTTGGATGGCATATTATACTATATGTAAAGAAAAGTATGTTAATATATATTTGTTTGCTATATAGCATGAAAGGCATTGCTGTACATTTTCTCAGCTTTGAGTTCTTCAGTTTTGAGTATGCAAAATGTTTCTTACTCTCTCTACTCTCTCTCTCTCTCTCTCTCTCTCTCTCTCTCTCTCTCTCTCTCTTTCTGGCAGTACTTTGATGAACTCAGTGGGGTGCCTGCAGAAGATCTGCCTTACTATGGTGGGTCTGTAGAAATTGCTGACTACTGCCCTTTCAGCCAGGAATTCAGCTGGCATTTAAGCGGTGAATATCAGCGCAGCTCAGATTGTAGGATACTGGAAAATCAGCCAGGTGAGTTGTCTAATGAAATAAAATGAAGATACCTATTTAATGACATGTCTGCAATACCATGTATTGGCTAGGGCATAGGCCTTGGAGCTGGGCAGCCTCTGGGCCATAGTGCCCCTGCTGTCCTGCACACAGCAGGAAGGATTCCCATCGTGCATTTTCAGAATGCTTAATATCTGTGTGGCATTCACTGCCAACCTCTCATTCTTCCAAAACCCCAAAGCAGAATATAGAAAAGATGGTACTGAATTCCACGGGTGAGTGAAGAGATGGTATCTGATACAGTTCTTTGGTGTCAGCATAAGATCTCCCAATGGAGGAATCTTTTTATTGTGTTATTATTTTAGGAGGTAGCTCCCCAAGCAATGCAAATGAGGCCTTGGGGCCATGCCTAGCAGCACTTTGCCAACCATGCCAATGCTTTGGTGCCCGAGGGTGCTGTAAGGCTCCAGCAGGGCCACATGGGTCCTGTCCTACCCCCAGGCTGACTCTCCAGCACTATGTGAGTAAAGTGTCTGTGCGCGCGCGCGCGCGCGTGTGTGTGTGTGTGTGTGTGTGTGTGTGTGTGTGTGTGTGTGAGAGAGAGAGTGTGTGAGATGTGTGTGAGGCAGTGGGGCCAGATCCAGCAGTGCTGGGGCTTACTACTGGCTGAAGGGGTCTCTCCTGGTTGTGCTGGGAATCACACCGGGTAAGTCACATGCAGGCAAGCGCCTTAGCCACTGTCTCTCTGGCCTTTTTATTTTTATATTTAATTGAGATTAACATTGGTTTACAATACCATGTTTCCACCTCAGTGAATAGATCGTACCACAGGTGCCACCAAGAAGGTCTGGTGCCCCAGTCCCGTCTGTGAGCCCTCTGCCCCTCCTCTTTGACAAACCCACCCGGCAGCCACCATGCTGCTTCCACAACTAAAGGTCCATGTGCTCACCTCCTTCTGGATATTTCACTTATGGTGAAATCATGCGGGATTTATATTTATGATTTTTCCACTTAGCAGAACTGTCTCCTGGAGAGCTAGTACAGAGTGTGGGGCACTTGCCTTGCACACAGCTGACCCAGGTTTGATCCCCAGCACCCAGCCCGTCCCCTGACCATCCAGGAGTGACCCACCAGCACAGAGCCAGGACTAAACCCTGTGCCCTACTGTGTGTGGCCCCAGAACAAACACAAAATAACTGAGTAGTTTTTATACATTCATCGGTATAGTTAATTAGGCACTCAGGTTGTTTTCATTCGGGCCCTCAAGAGCAGTGACAGAGCAGTTTTTAGCCTATTTTCCTCTCCTTTGGAGTGTATCTCATGTGATTTAGAAGTAACATGCTACTGACCATGTATTAGAGTACTGATGGTGTACTGTGGTCATAAGATATATTGCGATATTATATTTTTTGATACATAAAACAGACAATGGAATAAACAACATAAAAATTGTTCGTTATACTAACCACCTTTATAAACAAAATGTTCTCACATCTGCTATCTAAATTAAGAGCAAGATTACCAATTTTTCTCTCCGTTGTCATTAGAATTTTTAATCTGCTCCTCTTCCCCCTAATTTCTTACTTTGTTACAGATGAAGTCACTTAAGTTTTGAATGTCCATGATTTCTTCCTAAACTTGCCAGATTTGGTTGAATTTATAGTCTTTTAATCCGTCATTCACCTACCTTAATGTCTGAACATTCATGGCAAATTATTCAGAAGCAAAAGAAATTCATAGACCTGTCAATAATGGCGTTGCTGTAGCTTTAGTTGGCAAAAGACCATTGGAGCAAGGTAGTAATTTAGGTTTTGTGCCTCCTGCCTTGTCTGTTGCAACTGCTCACAGTGTGAAAGCCTGTACAGGCAGCACAGGAAGTTGTTTCAGGAAAACTCCTTTTTGCACAAATACGAGCTCTCATGAGTTGGCCTGAGGGGTGTGGTTTGCTCACTCCCAGTTTTTTTACCCTCATCATTGATTTTTAAAGGACTTTATCTATTCATAAAAAGATGAGTTCCACTTTATTCCATCTCATGTTTTCTTAGGTTATACAATTAAGTTTTTACAAAATGGCTATTTGAACTCTGCTGGCAGAAGATAAGTGTTACGTGTAAAGAGAATAGATTATTCCCAGGAATTAAGAGCATCGTTGCTTTGCCTATGATCTTTAGAAGTCCTGGAGTCCACCCCAGATCTCTGCAAATCTGTGCTAGCCTGAGACTGGTCAGTGTGTCACTTAGGGGCTGTGAGCAGAGACATAGTATTACATCATCCCCCCAACCTTCACTATGTACATAACCTGCTCTCCCCCATGGGAAGCGATTCCGACTTAGTCACCAGTAAAGATGGTTCTTAGTGCCGTTTCCTCTATCCTTTAAAAAAAAAAAATTAGGGGCTGGATTGATAGCACAGCAGGCTGGGCGTTTGCCTTGCACGAGGCCGACCTGGCTTCAATTCCCAGTATCCCATATGATCCCCTAAGCACCACCAGGGGTAATTCCTGAGTGCAGAGCCAGGAGTAATCCCTGAGCATAAAAAAAAAAAAATCTTTAAACATTGTGGCTTACAAATTGTTCATAACACAGTTAATTTTGGGCATTCAATGTTCCAGCACCAACCCCACCATCAGAGTGGCCTTTCCTCCACCACAGTCCCCAGCTTCCCACCCACCCCCCAAACTTGCCCTCTTAGCAGGCACAAAATAACTCATTTTATATTGCTTGTTACAACAAAATGGTAAGTGGAATAATAAAATTGTTCAGTAAAAGAATATTTGTGAAAATGGTTGTATCTCACAGTTGTGGGAATGAAGTGGAGTGGAATGATCGTACACTGGGTTGGACACTTGTCTTGTGTGCAACCAACCTGACTTTGATCCTTGGCACCCCACATGGTCCCCTGAGCCGCCCCTCCCCCCCAAGTGAGCCCTGAACATACTGGCTGTTGCTCTGGGCCATGGTTTGGGTTAACTGGTAAGAGAGGCCAATCCCGATGTAGATGCGGATTGCAGGCCGACAGCCAACAGACTGGCTCATCCAAGGCAAGCTGTGGTTATACAGGAGCAGAAGGATCGCAGTATGTGTGGAATACAGCCAGGGGGATGAAAGGGAATAGGAATGAAAGGAAAATTAATGGTTACATGGGCTGTGTGCAGTTTGGGTGAAATGCATGCCAGGATCTCTAAGCTCTTAAGGACTCATAGAGCAGAGGCGGCCTGCATCCCAGGCTCCTCACGGTCAGTTATTAATCCGTACTGTTCTCTGAGGCTCTAGGGCCCCCAGCCCCAGCCCTTTGCTCCTGTTGCACCAGATACCCAAAGCTCCAGGGCCCCTGCATGTTCTCAAGGCTCCCGGTCCTGGTGGCTTGGAGCTGTGCCCGCAGGAAACCCAGCAGGATGGAGCCCGGAATCTTAAGAAAATGAGAGTGGACTACTTCAGTTTATTTTGTTCCCTGAGATCCCAAGTCCTTCCCCCTTTTCTTTCCGACTGTCGCACAAGACCTCGCAGTGCTGACTCTGCTCAGGCCACTCCTTAGCACCCAGGGAGACCAAACAAGCACCCTAAGCCCCATGCTGCCTTTCCAACTCTCCAAAGTCAATTTTTAAGAAAGCTTCTCTGGTTTGTTTCAGACCTTTTAAAAAACTATGGTGCTGAAAAGTACGGACCTCATTCAGTTTGTCTAATTCAGAAATCAGCATTTATCATGGAAAAGTGTGAGAGAAAGCTGAGTTACCCAGACTGGGGAAGTGGGTGTTATCAGGTAAACTATATGATTGTTTAATAACTATGTCAAGTATTGTATGTTTTTATCTATTCTTTACATGACTTTCGGGGTTTTTTTGGGTTGGTTTTTGTTCTTGAGCCATACCCAGGGGTAACTGGGACTGGGTGGGGGTGCCAGGGATCTAACCTGGCTGGGCCATGTGCAGGGAAACTCCCAGTCCACTACCCTTTCACTCAGGCCCCCATTATATGGCTTTTATATTTTAAAATATAGTTTCTTTTTATAATAACTTAGTAGTTAATACTTTGAATGATTTATGCTGTGTTTTATGAAGATATCATCATCTTTGACATATTTTTTCTTTGACAGACTTTCGAGAAAACTGAGACACTGTCTCCACCATTTGTTTTTTAAAATAAGGGACCTGGGGCTGGAGAGATAGCACAGCGAGTAGGGTGTTTGCCTTGCACGTGGCCAACCTGGGTTCGATTCCCAGCTTCCCCTGAGCACCGCCAGGAGTAACTCCTGAGTGCAGAGCCAGGAGTAACCCCTGTGCATCGCCGGGTGTGACCCAAAAGGCAAAAATAAATAAAATAAGGGACCTAAGAGATTGCTCCAAGGACTCAGAGTGTGGGAGGCTTGGCTTCATTCCTTACACTGCGTGGTTCCCTAACCGCCACTGTGAGCAGCCCCTGAGCAAGACAGGGCACCTCCCCTCCATCCCACAAGAGTGTGTTTATACATATCTTTCATGTATAAAATAATGTTTGTCTATCATTGCAAAAATAAGGCATGATAGAAACATAATAGCATATTTTTTCCAGTTTTGGGGGGAAGGTATCAAATTGGGCATCAAATCCAGATTTCATGCATACAAGGAATGTACTTTTAGGGCCAGAGCGACCAGGTAGCTCTTGCCTTGCACACAGCAGTCGTGGTTCCATCCCCGGCACCCGATAGGGTCCCCTGGCCCTCCAGGAGTGATCCCTGAGCTCAGAGCCCACAGTCAGCCCTGAGCACTGCTGGGCATGTCCCAAAACAAAATAAAACAGAAAAAAGGATGCGCTTATTAACCCATGAGGCATATTTCCAACCATAGCATGTTTTGCTTCTGATTTTATTTTGGCCACACCTGGCAGTGCCATGCCCAGCAGTACTCCAGGGCCAAGCCTCGCGGTGCTCAGGGAACCTTGTATAGTGCTGGGCAGCCGTGGCTGCATGCTGTGCAAACCCTACTCGACAGGTTTTATAATAACTTTGATTCTAGGAAAATTTCCTAGCAATTATGTAGTTTTGTTGTTGGAAAAATATTATTGTGTAATTTAAAAACTTGTAATTAGATTTTCTAAGATTAATACAGTACTGATTCCTAGCCTTCATTTTTGTTGTTGTTTTGTTTTACAGGAATATTTATTGAAACACCGTGTTTTACAAAACAAAGTTCATAGTAGAGTTGTTTCAGGTGTATGACATTCCAACACCCATCCCCCCACCAATCCCCCACTCCACCAATATCCCCAGGTTCCTCCCAGCTCCCAATCTGCCCCCTTGGCAGGTATATAACAATTCATTTCATATTACTTGGTCCAATAAAACAAAGGAATGGCAAAAAAGAATTATCAGAAAATATACCAATAAAAGCCAGTTAGTGATGATTAATTGCTATATGTCTTTAACCTTTTTTTTTAATGTTCCTCCTTATTCAGCCCTTGATTAAGCTGACTGAAGTGGGCATGAACTCCACATAACTTTTTTTTTTAATTTTTTGAGTATCCGTGAGATAGACCATTACAAAGCTGTTCACGATTGGTTTTCAGTCATACAATGATCCAGCACTCATCCCCCCACCAGTGTGCATTTTTCACCACCAATGTCCTGTTTCCCTCCATCTCCAACACTGCACCTCCACCCCTCACCCCCAGCCTCCCTCTATGGGAGGCAGTTTCCTCCTTTCTCTATCCTTTTCCTTTTGTGCGTTATGGATCTTTAACCTTTCTTAATCCAGTCGAGGACGGCAATATGCACCATGAGTGAGTGCCAGGCCCAACACTGAAGGACGGGAAGTTTCTCCTGTCCTTTAAAGGGACTCTTGTAATGTTCTTGCAAAACTGGTTTCAAGGCTCTGGATTCCCTAAGCTTTTACCTGTCCATGAAGCTCTATGTAGTTCCTTCGAATCTGAATGATAAACTAGCTGGATAGAGTAATTGTAGTAAAGTAGTGTTCATTTCATTGAGTTTTTATGAGGGTTTTTTAGTATAAAATCTTTTAGATAACCATTTCTTCCTTCCATGTTCTCTGTCTTAAATGGTCTCACTTGCTAGATCTGCTGTTCGTCTTGTGGACTTTCCTCTTCTGGCCTTGTTGCATTCGAGATCCTGTCTCTGTCTTTGGATTTTGTTATTTTGAGTATGAGTCTCGGAATTTTCCTAATTGAGTCTGTTTTCACTGACGACCCTTTGGGCCTCTTGGCTTTCGGTGCCTGAAACATCAGCCTGAACGTCCCTCATTCTAACCATGATTTCTCTAACCGCTGTTTCCTCATCACATTTCCCTTCCTGTCTTCCAGGGGCTCCGGTGATTCCCATATCGTTCCTCTTGAGCTCACCCCACAGTTCTCTGCTATGCTGTTTATTGGATTTTATTTCTTTCAGTCTCTTCTCAAACCTGTTTCCTAGAGGTTTCCTCCTCCTCGTCTTTGGCTCAGCTTCTGTTGACTTTTTCATATCACCTACCGTGTTCTTCGTTTCTGCCATTTCTGATGGTAGTCTCCTTTTCATTTCCACTGTCCTGCTTCCTTGTGCTTTGCTGACCACTGTGCACCCGTCGCTTTGTACTCACTGAGCATCCTCCACCCTCATCATCCTGCAGTGGAGTCATTGTCTGAGGACTCCTGCTGGTTACGCCTTTGGAGATGCTGTCTTTGCTCATGGAGCTTGGTGGGTTTCTCTGTGTTTCCAACATTGGTTTCTGGTGTTCTCACTTAAAGGATTTCTCTCCTGCCCTATGAATTTCGTTTTAGTCAAAGGCTTTTCCATTACTATAATTCATTTTGATATATATGTTGCCTGAGATTTGGCTGGTTCCTGCAACCTTTGACTTGTCCCCTTCTTTATGTGAATATTTCTGTTTCTGCTAAAAGATATTCTTTAATTTCTTTGCCTCCACCCTGGAATCAACTGTTTCTTCAAAAACTCTAGTTTGCTCGAGTGGAGTGTGAGCCTGGGGAAGAGCCTGACGGGCCGGATGCTCACTCTTGCCGAGTCATCACCGCCCCCTTGCCCAAGCAGAGTGACTCAGGTTGCAGAGTGTCAGCTTCTCGTACGCCTTGGATTCTGGCGCAATACCAATGGCTTTCCTTCCTCCCGGCCTCTCCTCCCCTTCCCCCTGCTATACTTGTAACTCTGTTCTCTGACAGCAAACAATCTGGTTCTCATTGTCCTCAATATGTTTATATATTTGTTCTGTCCGCGTTCCTGCCACCTTCTCCCACACCTTGTGGTCACTTTCCTCCCTGCTTAGCCTCAAATCTACCCAGGATAAACCTCTCCCTCAGATCCATACCTTTTGGCTATAAAAACATTTCTTTCATGAAATTTTCTGATCTTTACAGTTACTTCTATTATTTATAAATTTTAATCAACTTTTTAATCAGTTATTTATCAACTTTTATTTATTCTTTTTTGCTTTTTGGGTCGTACCTGGCAATGCACAGGGATTACTCCTGGCTCTGCACTCAGGAGTTACTCCTGGCGGTGCTCAGGGGACCATATGGGATGCTGGGAATCAAACCCGGGTCGGCTGCGTGCAAGGCAAACGCCCTACCCGCTGTGCTATCTCTCCAGCCCCAACTTTTAAAAACTTTCAATAAAGCAATTTGATAGTTATTTTATGAAAATAGTCTCCTCTCCTCAGGGAAAACATCTGGGCGTCAGGTGCTCAAATAATGAGCTTCTGTGATATTCTTTCCAGTATTAAGTTCTCAGTTTGTTTTGACTTCAAAGAATGATCACATTGCCCTGTACTAGGGATAGTATTTATTGAATGATGGGTTAGTGAAATGTGGTTACATTTTATTGCTGTTGTTTTAGTAGTTTAAGTTTCCAAAGGAGTGTTACATTAATGATAGTTATTTATAAAATGATTCCATTGTTGAAAAAGCTTTTGGAACTTCTTGCTTGAAAGCAGCTTTAGTGGGAGGGCAGGAGCGATAGTATAGCTGGGAGGGCGTTTTGCCGTGCACACTACCTGCCAGGGTTCAAGCCCAGCATCCCATAGGACCCCCTGAGCACCGCCAGGATGAATTTCTGAGTGCAGAGCCAGAAGTAACCCCTGAGCATTGCTGGGCGTGGCCCAAAAATAAATAAACTTTTAAATTTTTTTTTAAAAAACAACCTTTAGTTTTATAATGATCTAAGAAAAAGCACACTTATGTTAACTTGTGTTATCACGACCATGACCATCCTGTTGTTCGTCGATTGCCTCGAGCAGGCCCCAGTAATGTCTCCTTCGTCCTAGCCCTGAGACTTTTTAGAAAGTGCCATATTCAAGGCTCTTTCAGGGTTAGGAGAATGAGAACCATCATTGTTACTGGTATTTGGCATATTGGGTACTCCACGGGGAGTTTGCCAGAATCTGCCGTGTGGGCAGGTTACATTCGGTAGCCTGCCAGTTTGTCCAACTTGTGTTATAGTCAATTATATATTATGTTATAATCAATTATCTTTGCCAGACCTATTTCTGGGCAACTTTGGGTAAGTAAGTAAGTAAAGTAAGTAAAGGCCCTCCCGTTGATCATCGATTTGCTCGAGCGGGCCCAGTAACGTCTCCATTGGAGACTTTGTTGTTACTGTGTTTGGCATATCGAATACGTCACGGGGAGCTTGCCAGGCTCTGCCGTGCGGGCGAGATACTCTCGGGAGCTTGCTGGGCTCTCCGAGAGGGGCGGAGGAATCGAACTCGGGTCGGCCATGTTGGCTGCGTGCAAGGCAAACGCCCGACATAGTCAGAAACTTACACTTATTTTGAATACAATTCCATGAGAGAAGTTTTAGAAAAAAATTTTTGTTTTATATTTTTTTGTTTGTTTTTGGGCCACACTCAGTGTTGTAAGGGCTTACTTCTGTGTGTATGCTCAGGACCACTCCTGGTGGGCTTGAGGGACCATATGTAGTGCCAGGGATCAAACCTGGGTCGGTTGTGTGCAAGGCAATGCCCTGCCCCTACCCACTCTGACCCTAGGAATGTTGAAAGTTAAGTAGTATAATTTATGTGAAGTCTTTGCAGAAAATAATTTTGAAGAAGACACAATTGTCTAAAATTATTTGAAAGGTGACTCTAAGGTGTATTTTTCTCCCCTCATCATTGTGATGCTCAGGGAGCTGTGGCCTTCAGAGGGTCATTCAGGGTCTCACACATGCAAGTCCTGTGAGTTGTCACTTGGGCCACTTCCCTGCCTTCAGGGGGTTAATTTTCTCTTTATTGTATTTTTGTTTGTATGGGTTTTGGGGCCACAGCAGTGAAATTCTTTCAGAACCTGAACTTAACTCACATAAAGACATGAGATAAGGATAAAGAACGGTCACCCCAAATTGTATTCCATGGCCACTAATACTAAGTAGTGCATTTTCCTACAGTTAATGGAAAAGACATATACTAGAATCTTATTGATCTTTTTTTTTTCTTGTTTGAAGGTTTCTTGTTCTCTTGAAGGCCTAAAGGTTTGGGTTCAGGACACGTCTTATCTGTGTAGTCGGGCCGGCCAGGTCCTCCCTGTCAGTGTTCAGATGAATGGCTGGATTTACGATGGAAACCTCATCTGCCCATCGTGTTGGGACTTCTGTGAGCTCTGTCCTCCAGAGAGAGATCCTCCAGCTGCTAACCTGACCCGGGCACTCCCACTGGGTGAGTTCCAGGCGGGTAAGGCGGGACATTTCTTACCGGATGTGAAAGCGGCTGTGACTGGCTGACCCAGGGAGCCTGATGAGACACCTCCCTCTGCCCAGTAGGGTTCCACGGTTGGTAGGATGGGCAGCTTCTGTTTGGTCAGAGCAGGTGTGAGAGACAATTTTATGTGACTAACCTCAGACTAGCACCAACAAAATTAATTGACAAATGTAAATACAAAAATGCTTCAGATTCCCATTTTAAACTGAATAAACAAACTTTTGTTCAAAAAGCAATTAAACATATTCTAATTATCAATATCGAGGGAATGACACTGGAAAAGATTCTCAAGAAAGGTTTTAAAGTATTTATGTATGATCCCGGGCACCGCCCATTGTAAAAAGTACTTGCTCGCACGCTTGGAGAAGGGGTGATGATGATGTGTGTCGTTGGCGGGCTCTCTCCCTCCCTCCCTCCGTCTCTCCTGCTCTCTCCCCTGTCTCTCTTCTCCCCTCCCTCTCTCCTCCCTCTCTCTCTCCTCCCCTCTCTTCCTTCCTCCCCTTCTTTCTCTCTCTCTCTCCCCCTTTCTCTACTCTCTCCCCCTCTCCCTCTCTCTCCCTTTCCCTCCCCCTTTCACCATTCCCCTCTGTCTCTCCCCCCTCCCTATTCCCTCTCCCTCTTTCTATCTTGTTTCATGTGTCATCCTGACAGTGCTCAGGCTTACTCCTTAGAGATCACTCTGGTGGGGGTACAGGAACCATATAGGGTGCTGGGAATCAAACTGGCTTGGCCACGTGCAAGGTGAGCACCCTACCTTCACGTCTTGTCGAGACATTGATTTACACAGTTGTTCCCAGTGGGTTTCTACCCTCACACCCCTTCACCACTTAGCCGCGATTCTCTCCCGCCCAGCCTGTCTCCAGACAGTTACGCTCTTGGGCTCCGTGATGGCAGTGCGGGCCCTGTGTGGTGCAGGCCTGTGCAGACTCCTCACATTCACACTGCACAGACTCGTGCCCCGGGGCCTTGTGTCTTCCTCCAGGCCCTCTTCTGGGTGCCCCTCTCACTTCTCTTGTGGCAGTATATGTGTTTCTGAAGTCTGGAAGCAGTGTCTTTCCCTTCCTTAGACATGTGACTCATAGCGAGAGCATCCCATGTTTGTTCTTCTTCTGACTTATATCATTTAACATAAGATCCTCCAGCTCCATATTGCCACAAGTCACATGATTTCATCATGGCTTGTGGCTGAGTAATATTTCGTTGTGTATATCTACCACACCTTCCTCATCCTCTCTCCTGTTACAGGAGCACTGTTTCCATAACCTGACTCTTGTACTAAGTGCAGTGATTATAGGTGTGCAGATATCTTTTTGAACGATTGTTTTAACTCTTAAGTGTCTTTTCAGTTTTGCGCCATACCCAGCTATGCTCAGACCATACTTGGCTGTTACTCCTGGCTCTGCACTTAGGAATTACTCCAGATGGTGCCTAGGGGATCATATGAGATGCTGGGGACCAAGCCCAGATCACGTATGTGCAGGACAGCACCCTACCCATTGTACTAGCACTCTGGTTCCTTAACATGGTTTCTAGACATACCACTCTTGATCGGAATGTCTTAACTTTGGGCTTAGAAATTTATTTCAACACATGAATCCTCAAAATGTCTTAGTTTATGGGACAGGAGAGAGATATGGTAGGCCTTGCCTTGCATGTGACCAACCTGGGTTTGATCCCTAGTACCATATTCGGGCCCCCAAGCCCAGCCATTGAGTCCAGAGCCAGGAGGCAGGCTTTAGCACTGCTTGCTTATGGCACAGAAACAAAAAGTCCTAATTTGAGATGATGAGTGTTATGTTCCCGCTTATTGGGAACAAAGAATAGAAGAGATTCCTGAATCCCATCTAAAAAATTATATATATATATATAGGCACATTTTTTCTTCTCAAATATTTTAAAGCCAAAAAGATAGTATATGTCCTGATGAGGCCCAAGTTGCCACCCACAAACGTCTCCTCCAGCTCCTGGACCACCATGACCCCAGAGGCACACAAACCAATTTCAGAACCCAGCAGCTTTTGGCAGTAATCCCTCCAGACTTATTACTAGACTACTAGAAATCCAAAATCCCATGTCCGCAATAGTGGCCATGTGACATCATATGCTCTTCATAACCAGCAATAGAAAACAAATTATCTAATGATTTTTTTTGGCAGGTCTGATTGTTGGGGAAAATTCCAAATAATAACGGTGGGTCTTTTGTCGTAATAGTGAATGTGATCAACGTAGAGAGAGAGTAAAGTGGAAATCTGCCACGCAGGCGGGGGAGGGGTGGGAGGGTGGGTATACTGGAGTTCTTGGTGGTATAAACATTAATAAAGAAAAAAAAAGATAGTGTAGGTGGTGAATCTTCCATGTAGCTGACTCTGGTTCAGTTCCTCTTACTGCACAGGGGCCCCCAGAGTCACCCGGAGTGATCCCTGAGCATTGCCGGGTATGGCACAAAGCAAAACAAAAAATTTGTTTCTCCATTAAAGTTTTCTGCTTTTTCTTTTGGGACTATTTCCAGCAGTGCTCAGGGCTGACTCCTGGCTCTATGCTCAGGAATCACTCCTGGCAGGGCTGGAGGGAACCACACAAGTGCCAGGAATTAAAGCCAGGTCAGCACGTTCAAGACAAGCTTCCCAGACCCTTCATAAACATTATTTTTATGGCTGTATTTTCTAATTTTGAGGCATTCAGTCTTGATCATGGTCTTCCTGGGGGTCCTTGTCATCATAATCATTTTACCCAGCTCACAAACTGTCTCTAGAAAGCATTCTGTTTGTTCCCACAGACCTCTGTTCCCGCTCGTCCAGCCTGGCTGCCGCCCTCTGGCTCCTGCTGGGTAACCTGTTTCCTCTGCTGGCTGGATTTCTTCTGTGTGTGTGGCACTAGGAGTGAAAATGTGAACTCTTCCAACGTTCTCGTGTGTCCTGTCGTTCTGCACAAGCCCGGATTGGAGCAGGCGGCGCGCAGTCCTAGCTGGGCCCAGTGGGACCAGCGCCCTCTTAGTGGGGCTGGTAGCATCGTCGTCTCAGCTCTGGCCCCCCTGGAGCTGAAGAGGGAGCCGGAGTTCCAGGCATCCAGCCACTTGTTCTTCAGGATACATGAATGTCAAGATCTCTCCTTGAAAGGGCGGTGGCTGATGACATTTTCAGAGTGATGACATACCTCAGCATTTTCATTAGCTTAGAGTGATGGACGAGCAAGCTCATCAATGCTGTGATGTGTGCAAGATTATAAATTATGAGTCTAGTCTTCTGGAGTGTAAATTGTCCTTGGATTTATGAGAGAATAATTGAATTGGAATTTCTGCATCACTGGTCTGTGTTTTGAATTTCATGATATACATTGTATGTTTAAATCATGGTTACAATTGTTCTAAGGGTTTCTTTTTTTTTTTAAGTTACCTTTTGCTAAGTCTTGTAATAATTTGACCATGCTTGCTATTTTTCAAGCCAGCAGTGAAACAATTTACTACTGTTTATACATGTCAGAACCTCTTGCAGCTGTGTTCGTGCTCACAGGCCTGAGACTTGGCTTCCAATTTCCCCATTGATTTTTGAAGGACTTGAAGAACTGTGGAAGCAGAGAGTGCCCTTTCTCAGAAAAAATGAAGACCTGCTGCATAAGAAAACCTAATTATGTGTTTTTAAATAATAGTTATGACAAGTACACTCCAATACAAATAGAACTCCTTTTTGATCAATGAAGACTAAAGGAAATTTTGGTGGGCCAGGGCAATAGTCCAGTGGGCAGGAAGCTTCCCTGACACCCATTATGGCCATGCACCACCAGGCATGATCCCTGGGTGCAGAGCAGAAGTAAGCCCTGAGCACCCCTGGATGTGGCTCAAAAAATAATTTAAAGTAAAGAAATGAAATTTTGGTGTAGATAAGTACAGTTTATTTTCGAGTGAGCTTAGAAATTACTACAGAATTATTTCTACTTTTCTGGAAATTATGTATAGGAGGAGAATTTTAAGTCAAAACAGTATGGTCTGAATTATGAATAACAACTTTTAGGGCTATAGGGTCCACTCTGCCACAGAACATACAGTGGGATCCATAGTAGTGGAAAGACGGCCTTTGCTTTAAAAGGCTGGAGCGATAGTGCAGAAGGGAGGGCATTTGCCTTGCACACGGCTGTCCTGGGTTCCATCCCCAGCATTCCATGTGGCTCCCAGAGCACTGCCAGGAGTAATTCCTGAGCAGAGCCAGGAGTAACCCCTGAGCATTGCTGGGTACGGCCCCCAAGAAGAAATAAAACCAAACAAATAAATAAAGGAAGGTACTGCTGTGCCCTTGTGCCCACTGTTTACATTCTTTGCTGCCGCATAGATCTTGCACCCAGAAGCTCTTTCCCGCTGGCTCCCAGGTTAACCCGTACCTCCTAGTAATTCCAGCTTGAGATTTTCCAATAACGAGTGATGTCTAGTTAGTCTCACTAAATGTAACAAAGCCCTATAGAATTACAATAAACATTTATTCATTCATTAGATGGCCCTGTAATTTAGCATATAGATACTGAGCACTTTTAAGACAATTAAGGAATAATTCTAGTTGATCTTTGGGTACTAGGGCCAAAAGAGTAAGCCCAGCATTAAAAAAAAGTTATCTTTTAAGAATGTATATGTTTAAAAGACATATTTGTCTATACTCTTAAAATGGAAGTACTTATCTTTGTGAAAAGGAGGCATCTCTAGCATAGACAATTTTGGCTACAAAGAAGTGAGGAATAATGATATCGGTCCAGTGCTCAATTTTCTTCCTTATGTGCAAGATCAGAGAAAAGTGTAGAGAGTATATATTTTTTACAAATTATAAACATTAGAACTTATATACCTGCTGTAATTATGACTTATCTGCAAAGTAATATAAAGAATTTCACCAAAATATACTATGAATTCACTATGAATTATAGTGACCGCTTTGACTCTATTTTGACTGGTATGCCACAATGCTATTTAGGTAGTATTGTTTCCAAGCATGGTGCTTTTTATACTTGAATTATATTTTTGCTTTATTTTTTATTGATATAGTTATATTTGCACTAATAACTTTCTGAAGAAAATATTATAGGTGACTTTTTTCTATATATGAGCTGGGGCGATAGGACAGCGAGCAGGGCGTTTGCCTTGCACGCGGCCAACCCAGGCTCAATTCCTGTCCCTCTCGGAGAGCCTGGCAAGCTACCAAGAGTATCCCGCCCACACGGCAGAGCCTGGCAAACTCCCCGTGGCGTATTCGATATGCCAAAAACAGTAACAACAAGATTCACAATGGAGATGTTACTGGTGCCCGCTCAAGCAAATCCGTGAACAACGGGAAGACAGTGCAGTGCAGTGCAGATATTTATTGTTTGGAATCTGGAAGCCCAGCGTTTTCTCTGCACAAACGTTAAACTGATAACATAGGACGTTAGGAAAACCCGAGTTTCTGAGTGTGACTGGTCCGCGTGTTTCCTTCCTCTTGAAAGTATTTGCTGGTCACTGACCCAGCTCTCAGAAAAGACAGAACCACCGACCCTGTAAGAAGTTACAAGAGACATGCTGTCGTCACTTACAATAGGACAGTATTTTTCTGACTCACTTTCAAGGTCTAAAATTTCATTGCAGAGAATGAGTGGGTTTGTATCCAGCTTTCTGCATTCCCAAGGAGGGGCGTGAGGGGGGGCAGGGAGAGAGGGACCGCTGGGGTCCAGGTGGCAGAAAGGGCCAATCCCGATGATCTTGGTTTCCAGTTCAGACTTAGGTTCATTTGGATAATATTCAGATCCAAATTGTAAAAATTATGAAATGAATCAGTCTCTCAGATACTGAAGAGGAGAATTTATAGGAAGGAAGCGAAAGCTGTGACGGTAGCCCAGAGCATCCAGGAGGGTCCGTCCCACTCAGGCTCTCCTGGCCAGTGTCATTTTCCTGCCCTTACTTCTGAAGGATACTTATTTTTGTTAAAACCAGATAGGTTTTCTGAAATTGTTACGTTATGCTTTAGGTTAACTTTATCTTATCTTAGAGTTGATCAATATTTGAAGTTGAAACAGTGAATGAGGTTTTAATAGTCTATGGATATGCACATCTGAGTGTATCTGAGTATTTCCTTACATGCTGTCACTTTCTCTTCAGTATTAGAAACTTCCTGACTGTGGTCATCTGTGTAATGACCAGCCTCTCTCTCAACTCGCCCAGCTCCCATACTGGACTCAGACCCGTCAGAGTCCCGGCCATCGCCAGTTCCACTCCACTCCCAGCCAGCTCTCGGTGTCTCACCTTCAGTGCCCCAGCCCTGCCCCGTGGAGGGAGAAGAACCTGGGGCCAGGCAGGGGCTTCACTGCACAGCCAGTCTCGGATCTTGGGAGGCAGCGGGGCTGACGGGGGAAACTGCTCGCTCTGAAGGATGAATCGACCTGTAGGAAATGAAGAGGGCATGAGGAAATCTTTTTTTTATGTTTACATTTCTTAATAGATTAAAAAACTAATCTTTATTTATGGTATCAAACTTTAAATGTAATTTATTCCTTAGAAAAGACAAAACTTTAATTAAAAAAAAATGGAAACATCTGCATTTTGTTCTACTTAATGCTCAGTTATTTGGAGCCTGGGTGAGGAGCATAAGCACAGCCATGTACTACTAGGGGGGAGGGGGTATGTGTTTTTTGAAACATAATTCAGATTTTGGTGTTTCTGAATTTTTTGAGGGGGGGAGTGTTTGAGGCCACACAAAACAGTGATCAGGGCTTTTTCCTGGCTCTGTGCTCAGGGGTCACTCCTGGTGGGACTCAAGGGACCACAGGTGCCAGGAATCAAACTGCTTAGTCACGTGCAAGGCAAGTGCCATACTTGCTGTACTCTCTCTCCAGGCCCAGTTTTTGTTTTAACTGAAGTAAAACTACCATACTTAAAGAATGGAACTGAGCTCGAGAGGTGGTACAGGGTTATAGCACTTGCCTGGCATGTGGTGAACCCTGGAAATTGCCTGAGTATCACCAGGTGTGGTCCAATTCCCCCCCACCCCCCATAAAATACAATAAAATATTGGTATTTCATTTTTAAAAGAGAAGAGTGGAAGGGCAGTAGTAGAACAGCAGGCCGGGTGTTTCCCTTGCAAATGGCCAACCTGGGTTTGATCCCCATGTCTCACATGGTCCCCCAAGCACCACTAGGAGTGATTTCTGAGTGCAGAGCAAAGAATAACATCTGATCATTGCTGGTGTGGCCAGAAACCAAATAATAATTATTTTTAGATGTCTCGCGACATCTTATTATGACATCTTATTATCTCATTTCTACTTTGGACAAACAGGCAGGCTACCAAATGTAACCTGCCCACACGGCAGAGTCTGGCAAACTCCCCGTGGCGTACCCAATATGCCAAATACCAGTAACAATGATGGGTCTCATTCTCCTAAAGAGCCTTGAATATCGCACTTTCTTAAAAATCTCAGGGCTAGGATGAAGGAGACGTTACTGGGGCCTGCTCGAGGCAATCGACGAATAACAGGATGGTCATGAATTATTTAAAAAAAATTTTTTAAAGAGCGGAAGTAGGTCTTTTAGCTGCAGTGTGCAGTGGGGGATAGTCACACAGGAAGGAGTGCAAACCGCAGCCTTCCCTGCCTGCCTCTGGTTGACCCTTACTCCAACCTTTGCTCTGTGCTGCAGTCTGGGTGCCGTAGACCCCTGGCACATTCATGTACCCCACTCTATGGGAGTATTTCATCTGGTTGCAGGATGAGAGTGGGTGCCCAGAATACCTTTTGGGGTGTGTTTTGGGGGCCACACCTCGCAGTGCCTGGTGATGCACCTAGTTTACTCCAGGGGTTGCTCCTGGAGGTACTCAGGAGCATGCAGTGCGGAGGCTCGAACCCAGCCTCCTGCCCACGGGGGTGCTGTATTCCTTTGAGCTGGCGCCCCAGCCCATCTCCCTAGTGCCACTTTGCCTGCCCTGGCACCTGAAGCTAAGTTGACAAACCTCTGAGACCTACAATTCCTGAGCTGACAGGCAGTAGGAAATTTGGATAATATTTATATTTTTTAAAGAGTTTAAACAGTTCATGTAATAGTTAAAACTATACAGATTCCTTCAAGCATGCATGAGTCCATTATGATTTGCATGATGTGCATCTCATACTGTCCAGTTCACTCTGTCTTTCAGTATCGTCTTATCTTTAGGGTGTCGGCTACACACTCTGACGAAACATCAGCGCTTCGCTCCCTCAGGTCTAGTGACATTCCTAGACAGCTAGAGACTGATTAGAATAGATTCCACGTGTGGATGCACACATAGTTAATTCTTGAGAGTATATACATTTTTGTTGTTTATTTTGGGGGTCACTCCAGTGGTGCTCATGGCTTACTCATGTTGGGCGTTGGGG